TACCTAAAAAATAAAAAATTTGTAAAAAAAAACTTTTTAAAAATTCACTAAATATCAAAAATAGAAAAAAAAATACGAAAATTCGATATTTTTTTATATTTTCATGTATTTATTAATTTTTTAAAATATTTTTGTACAAATTTTTTACGATAAATATATCTAAATGAAGTACATCAAAAAAATAAAAAAAAATATTTAAAATTTTAAAAATATTCTCTAAAAACAAAAAATACGAAAATCAAAAACTCAATTTTTAAAAGACTTAATCCAACAAACTCAAACCAAACAATACTGAATAATCTTTCAAACTATAGTCATCCTTCGAACCAAAAAAAAAAAAAAACCCTTGACACACTTCAAAAGTAAATTAGAAATGCAATCGTAACGTTACAAAGAAAAGTCCTCAAAAAAATGCATTACAAAGAAAAGCACATTTCCTTTATGCCTTCCATGCTTTTCCCTTAAACAAACAAAAGAATATTATATATATATATATATATATGAACCTCATGCTATACCAACTAACAAAATACATATGCCTTCATTTGAAAAGAATGATAGAGTTAAATTTGAGACTATTTTAATCACAAAAACACTAAATAAATTTTTTAATCTAATAAGACAAAATATCACATCAAATTCATAATCATTATATTTTTTTTCTTACAAAAAGTCAAAAAAATCAAGAAATCCTTCCCCAACGAGATTTTTTACCCTTAGAAAAATAACTAAAAAACTGACTCACTTTCTAAACGAATCCCATATATACATATATACATATATATACATAGAGAGAGAGAGAGAGAGAGAGAGCGTCGCTATACCCCACCCGCTGCCCAACCTCTAACAAATATTGGGTTGGGTGTAACGAATACGTGGTGTCAACACTAAAATGACAACACAGTATCATAAAATGACATCACAGAAATATTTGATGCAACTATATGGGACTTCTTATTGGTCAATGACAACACAGTATCACATATTTGCATCAAATATTTTTCTCCACTGACCAAAGAAAGAAAAAAAGCAGAGAAGAGAGGAAAAAAAAGATGGTGTAAGTTTTCAAAATAAATTACAAATAGATTGAACAGTTTATCAATTTTAATAATTAAAGTTACAGTTTTTCCATAAATTTGTAAATATTTTGTAAAAATACCACTTATTTACAATTTTCCCAAAAAGATAATGGAAAAGACAAAAGAACCAAACAAAAAAAGGGAAAATATGAAAGAATGACAACAAACTAAACAAAGCAATAACTGACAAATACGTATAAACTGGTTCAGAAAATGCTAGAGATTTCTACTTAATGTCTCACGTGTGGGAACCACACCATGCGGGGGGTCCCGCATGAGACCCACCCTTAGGTGAGATATTTGATAAAAATTTTGATAAATCTTTTGGGATTTGATTTTCCAACCTTATAAATTCATATAAATCAAACCAAACAAAATTTAAGTCCCATCAAATACAGTCGGCTACATGAATCATTCTTCTCCACTCAACAACCTTATAAATCCATATGAAACAGCTAAAATAAAATAAATTTCTCTAATAATTCTCCACAAAGCATTTAAAACCACTTAATTTGCACTAGCGTGTTTTGATTTTTATTACAAAACAGAGGATCATCTACCCAAGAACTGACGCAAAACCAAAAATGACACCAGAAATATATATTGTTACCATCTTTCATATTCTACATAGCTCAAAGATAATTAATCATATCCCTACACATCCTCAAATAAACAAAAACAAAAGCAAAAATTATTTCCAAAATGCTTCCAACTCCAAATACACTTTATAACCCCTCTCAACCTCATCACTCAAACCACCAAGGCTTGAAACCAGAGCAACCAAAAATAATGAAATCCAAGTGTACAAGAAAAGCTTTACACAACCCGAACACGTAAGGCCACACATAAATCAATCTTTCCAGTCACCTTTTTCCCAGAAGAAGCCACATCTGCCACTACCTCTGTGCTTATCACTACATATAAAACTATATTGTAACCATTTCCGTCCCCCCACCCAAAACTGTGGCACAAACACCCCACCACCCAAAAAGAAAAACCTACCACACCCACTGCATTACTACAATGTTCCCAAACACACCCACTTAAGTTCTGAAACGATAAACTGATACAGGCATATGCCACAGGGAAAATGGTGCAACAAGAAAGATACGAACGCGCTAAACAGACTACAAGAGTAGATAGAAACAGAGTATCATTTGATGCCTTGATACATATTAAAGGCAAGCATAACTTTTCTGGAGTAGAAAGATGTCATCACCAACATTTCACTACACAAACAATATCTGTCTGGTAGACTACAGCTAAGTTCAGATGTAACACTAAAAGGATGGGGTTATGGGTCTGTAACTGATCTTTCTAACAGCTGTTCATTAAGAAAATGAATGAAGATAGATTATATTCAGCTTGATTTCTTAGAGATACGCTATAGATACTAGGTCAGGGAGTGGAAATACTACTACCAAATGTACAAGACAGGCTGCAAACTTATATCCTTAGTTCAAAAAAGTCAACAGACTCGTACCCAGTATACAGGACATTAAACTTTAAAGCGGTAAGTTAGAGAGCTAAAATGAATGAAGATAGATTATATTCAGCTTGATTTCTTAGAGATACGCTATAGATACTAGGTCAGGGAGTGGAAATACTACTACCAAATGTAGAAGACAGGCTGCAAACTTATATCCTTAGTTCAAAAAAGTCAACAGACTCATACCCAGTACACAGGACATTAAACTTTAAAGCGGTAAGTTAGAGAGCTACTGCAAAACCCCGCAGAAGAATCCCTCCAAAACGGCCATATACCCACTTGAAGAGAAAATAGATAGAGGAATCGCGGATATCGTATAAAAAGTCCAAATAACTTTCATGGCCAAAGTTATCCTATAGATGTATTCATGCCTATTTGAAATGCAAATCATAGTATTCAGTCTGATGGGAATGGGAACGAAACACGAGATATTTTTCATGAAATATGGAAAAAAGTCTAGAGTAGTTCATAACAGAGTAATAGAGTTGTCGGGTTAAGCAGTAGTGCAAGTCAGATGGGTATTTTTTGTTGTCTTAATTAAATAGGAAGTATAGAACAATGGCATCTAAGCTACCTCCTGCAAGGCAAGTATATAGCAAGGTTCAAAGAGTAGAAACACACCAAAACGATGCATTGATAAGTATCAATATGACAGAAGAAAACACACGAAGTATAGTGAAACAGAGAATTGGACTGGGTTGGGTGGGTTGGATATTTATCCCAGAGCTTCTACTTACACAACAAAATGATCTCCTTACACATTTTTTAATTAAATCCCCATCAAAAATTCAAAATTCTTCCTGTTATCTCCTTTCACCTCTCATAATTTCAAACATACCCTCATTACTAACCTCCATTCATCTCTTTACACCCTGCACCTTTCAAACCTCACACCCACCTCAACCATCACTGCCAACCACCACAGCCGCCACCACCTCCAAGCCCTCTCCCACCCCCGACCTCCTTCCCCTACCCCAGTGACCACCAACCCGCAGCCTCGACCCACAGCAGCTCTATCCAATCCCAGAGACCTACCCCCTCTGCAGCTCTCGCCCACCCCAGTGGCAACCACCCTGCAGCCCCCCAACGCACCCCAAATTTCATATATAGAATTTTCAGAGGGGAGAGAGAAAATCTAGGATTTTCAAAAAAGAAGAAAAAGTTCAGATAACAAGAGCCGAACCATGGCTTCTGTGTGGCTTCATGGAACCAATTCAATTCCAATGTTCAGGTCCAGACAACCGAAGCTGAACCAATGGCCTTCATTTGGTTTCTTCATGCCAAATCAATGGTGTTCATTCAAAGACCGACCACCAAATGGAGGGGGAGGGGTTGGGGATGGGTGGGACGTTAAAAAGGACGGGAGGGGAGAAGGGTAGGGAGGAGAGAGTTGCAGGGGGGTTTGCAGTTGGGAAGGGGGGTTGCAGTGGGAGAGGGGGATCGCCAGTAGGGGAACGGGCATTGCAGTCGTCGGAGGTGGCAGCAGTCGCTGTTGGTAGTCAGAGGTGGCAGTAGCTGCGCCGAGGGTGGTGGTTGGTGGTGCAATAGAGTTAGGGTTTGAAAGGAGAGGGGTGTAAAAGATGGTTGTGCAGACAAATTGGGTTTCAAGTGTTTGTGGGTTTAATGGTAGTTTTAGAAAGGGATAGAAAATTGTAATTAAAAAATACACACTTAGGGATGAATAGGAGATAATTTTGTTGTGTCAATAGAAGCTCCCACAAACCAGACTGGCTACTTGAAAACCCAAGAAAACTTTTATGCTTCTAGGGTTTTTTTTTTTTTTCTTTGGTCCTAATACCAAAGCAATAGAGATTTATGAATCAAAGAACTAAGCCATACGAAGGCATTGGGAACCCAATCACTTGAAAATATAAGAGTGGTGGCTATATAAAAAAAGGAAGAGCTCCAATGCTGAATCCAGAAGGCAGCAGTGAGGTTCATTCAGAGAGGTGTAATAAATTAGGTGGAAAGCTCCTTTGCACAAAATAACCAAGGACTATTAAGTATATTCTTGTGAGCCACAATTTCTATTGAACAGTCAACTAAGAATGGAAAAGGTTGGCAGGATTAATAGACAAATTCTAAAAGACCATTAGAAGGCCATCAATCCTGACAAGTTTTTAGATAAAAAGCATTTATTGATTTTTCTGGAATCACAGAATTAGATTTCCAAAAAAGATTCATGATGGCATAAGTTATAAAGGAATCCCAACAAAGACAAAGCATCAGCTGGAATTTGAAGAAACGACAATTCTCGTGACTTAATTTTAGCTGAAGATTCTTCATATAAACAGGTCAAGCACAGAACTCAAATTAGAAGAAAGACGGGGGAAAGGACAATGCCATATAGCATGCATAAGTCATTAGTTCAAGAAATTGAGGTGTGCCTTTTCTGTGAAACTAATCTGTAATTGTCAACCAAGTCAGGGAAGTAAAAAGAAAAAGAGTTTAGAACCAAGTTCATTTCATTGTGCATCAGACAGGATATCTTCTCAAGAAGATGAGAATAAGAGGATTGTATGGCAACACTAATTAAAACATCCATGTATTATGAATCCGACAATTATGGTTATTACTGAAAGTACTCTGGCACGAACATCAAAGTTATAGAGCAAAACAGTATTTGCAAATAAGATGGAATCCACACTAACCAAGGATAAGAATTAATAAAACACTTTGAAAGGAGAGAAGATCCTATCAGTTCTAAGACAGCCGCAGATGAAGAATCGATTAAGCAACATAGACAACCTATATCCACAGAAAATAGAGCCTGCAGTGAATCTTCCGGCACAATCTTGATAGGCTTTGTTACGAAAAAAAACAGGATTGCAACAGACAAAACCTAGAAATGAAGCCCTCTCCAAGAAATGACCTAAAGGAACTAGAGAGAGTAAACATTTGAGGGAGAATGCTCCATGATCTAAACCAGAATTCACCTTCAAATACCAAGAAGCATCAGAAGATCCTATCAGTTCTAAGACAGCCGCAGATGAAGAATCGATTAAGCAACATAGACAACCTATATCTGCAGAAAATAGAGCCTGTAGTGAATCTTTCGGCACAATCTGTATAGGCTTTGTTACGAAAGAAATAGGATTGCAACAGACAAAACCTAGAAATGAAGCCCTCTCCAAGACATGACCTAAAGGAACTAGAGAGAGTAAACATTTGAGGGAGAATGCTCCATGATCTAAACCAGAATTCACCTTCAAATACTCGTATTTTAGGTAGACATTATAAATGCCTGAATCAAGTTTTCAGCTGCATGCTTCTGCTCAGATGTGCCAGATATTAGAGCCACACAATCACCCCGGGAAGATTTGGATTCAGAGATCTCTACAACTGCTCCAGATATCTGGAAGAGAAACAAGTGCAAGTGAGAATGTCATTTGATCAAAGTGAGAGTTCAAGGTTAGTTATGGGCCCAAGTAACCTCCCAACAGATAGATAATCAGTCGCCAAGAAGCAATTATGTATCTCAGATTGAAATCTGATGGACGGTTAAAAAACAATAGTTGAAGCAGACTAAAGTATTGGCCATCAACTGTATCTCAGGATGAAATCTGATGGACAGTTAAAAAACAAGAGTTGAAGCAGACTAAAGTATTGGGCATCGAACACGAAAAAGGCTGAGACATTTTATAGGGTTCAATCTATGACTCTATGCCCTAAATCAACCAAATTAGATGTCGAGCACATTAGTCCACCTCCCCTCTTTGATGCTAATGGCACCACTATTATATTGTATGATATTTGCCTCAATGATATAGTGATTTAATCCTCAAGTCTACGATCCCCATGAATGTTAGTCATGGACCGCCAAACAAAATGTGAGCTCCCTCCGTATGAAAGATAATCAACCAAAATTTAAGTGGATTAAGAAAAGAAGAAAGAAAGAACCAACCTTACGGATGTTAGCTATATTAGCCCCGCCTTTACCCATCACTTTACCCACTGCATGAGCAGGAACCACCATCTCAAAAGTTGATGGAGGCGGCAATCTGTTTACAATATATGGTATAAAGACATCAGGATCAAATTAGAAGGGAAATATAGTAAGAAACTCGTGGCCATAATAATACTAACCCTCCATACATCTTTGACGAGTATGAAGACAAAGATCCATAGCCATTGTCTCCCATCTATCAAAAGAGAAACAGCCACTCAAATAAGAACCACAAGAACAGGGGTGGAGTTAAAAAATTAATTAAGTGGACAAAACAGTGAAAAAATTAAATAATAAAATACTGAGATAAACACCAATGCAGGAAAAAGAGCAAACAATAAATCCCACAAAAAAATAACTTGAAATTTGAAAAACTAGACAATAGGCCACACATCGATGAAATAATTAACAATATGTTTCAGAGGTGAGACATTGACAAGTTAATTAACATGTTTCCCCTAAAATGCATCTAATCGTCAAGAATTACAATCAACAGGTTTCATAGGTGAGACAAACAATATCTTTCACCATCAACACAATCACCACTGCCGCCATTGTCACCACTATAGCACCACCACTATATAACCACCATATACCACCAACACTATCACAACATCGCCGCCATCACTGTCACTCTACTATTACCGCCGCAGCCACCCCTTTACCTCCGCCATCACTTCATCACTAGCACCACCATCAATACCATCACACAACCGCCACTGCCGCCATCACTCACTCCACTACCACCATCTTCACCAACTCTATCCTACCTAACACCACTTCCTTATAACCACAACCGTCATGCCAACACTACCACTGTCATTGCCGCAACTATCTTACTACACAAACACTGTCTCGCAACACCACCACCACGACGCTGCTACCAAACCACCACCACAATATGAAGTGTAAAGGAAAAATTAATAAATTTCAAAGTATTACTTTTTTTACATATCAAATAATTTGATTAAATTTATTTAGCACATAAATTGCAGTAGATACCAGACAGTTTTTCAAATTAAAAAATTCAACTTTTAAAGTTTTCAGTTTTTTATATTTCAATTTTCAGTTTTAGGAAACAATGCCTAAGTAAATATTAAAACAAAATAGAAAAATAAGCAAGCACATTGCCATTAATGTACCAAAGAAAACTTGCAACTGGAAAAAAAATGAATAACAAGATCTAAAAATATCAAATGACCATAACACTAAGGAAATAACAAAGAAATCAAATGCCACAGCATTGACATACTGATAAAGATCCATATCCATAAAGGCTGCCTGAAGAAAGCATGCCTAAGCCACTCCCAGATTCAGCTCTCTGTTCATAACCCATTGGAGCAACTGGGGGAACACTAGGCAAAACTGAAGGCATAGAAAAACCAGTACCACCAGAATACATAGAATCGGCACCAGCAGAAGTATTATGACCACCTTCCCTGTCTTTTAAGACGTCATCTCGAAGCCGCATAACGATTTGAATAAGTGCATCCCTCACCCTACTAACTTCCCCAACCACCTATGCAGAACAAAACACGTGAATGGAAAGCAAGGTAAAACTACACAAAAATACCAATTATACTAAAAAGCTTATCGAAACAGCATGAAATATACCTCAACAAGTTCATCGTTGGAATCAGCACACTTAGGCTTCTCGCCTTTGGAGATACGGACATCAGCTTTAGTTCTCTTTCGGATCTCATTTATGATTGAACCACTTTTTCCAATTATACAACCAATAACTTTAGATGGAACAAGAAGCCGGATAGTTACAGTGTCATCATCTTCGTCATTTATCTTCCCTTGCAGCAATAAAACCGCTTCAACTGCTATGGATTTCATGTCATCCATGGACTGCCAAAAAAAGTGGTGCAAAAATATCAATACACATGGAATGAAGAATACCCTCAACAGCAGGTTTCCCAACCCAACAACTCAGAACATGATCCAACATTAAATAAATTAAATGGATACAGATAAATGATGGTATTTAGATGCCATTACATACAGTCATCAAAATAAAAATAAATGGGGCACAATAAATGAAGTCAAAAACAATTCTTCAAAAAATAAAGGTATTTTACAAACCCATGATAGCACGTAGAGATGATCCAAATGTACATATATACGTGTGTGTGTGTGTGCGCGTGTGTAGTAACTTGATCTGGGTTACAATTCCCCAATCAAAGTTAAAAACAGTGAGGAAATCAAGCGGCAGAGCAGTTTCTCCCTGTCCTCCTGCTAACTTTTGGGCACTTGACAAAGAAGTCAGAATATAAATAAAAAGGAAGCAGAAAGAAAGCTATACCTCTGTTGAGGTGATGGAGATGATACATTCATCACGATCAGCCTTATCATCAACCTCAATACGAGCACCACTGGCCTGTCTCACACTTTTTATTGAACCCCCTCCCTTGCCAATAACGCGGCCAATCATGTCAGAGGGGCACAGCACTCTCACAATTAACTCCTCTGATCTTGATGTACCACCATAACCAGAAACTACAGGAAGGGCAGAAGAATAAACAGGCCAAGTGCTCCCTGCATCAGCATACCCTGAAAGTTCCGGAACATGTGTAGCACCTAGGACAGGAGGAACAGATCTGGATGGGACAATAGGATCTACACTTGGATAGAGTCCACCAGCATGATAAATAGGAACGTCTGAAGGGATAATGATGCTTGGAGGGGCTTCAGGCACATTGGTGTCAAGAGGAATCTCTTCCTTTGGACTGAACTTGTACATGATTGCTGAAATTGCAAACAATGCTCTCTTCACTGCATCGGGCTCACCAGTTACCTATTTACATTGCGACAGAAATTTCATAAACCACACAAATTTTACCAATATCAGGCCATTTCCAAAACAAATAAGTCCAAATAATTGGAAAACAATGTAAATAGTGACTGAAAGGCCACATCTGTGTTGCAAACACAATTGTGCACAAGTATTGAGCATGGAATAAAATATATGGCAACATATCGAGATTTTTAAGAGTAGAATTGCAGTCTATTAATGTTTTCTTCTTCTTTTTTTTTCTTTTTTTTTGGGTAGAACAGAAGTACTTCAGGTAACATCGCAGTGCTTAAGGAGAGGTGGGGAATGGAACCCGACCAGTGAGTATGGGAGTACGGTGACCCATCCACTAGGCCAGGTCAGCTGCTCATGTATGAATGTGATTGAATCACAAAAGATTGCAAAATATGATGGATCGCAAATGGCTTTCCACATAATTCATATGAAATTCACTATATGATAAAAATTGCAATATATCCCACAATATTGCAAAATGTACATAGCAGTTATGGCAGAAATTATTTTGTTCTATTCACTTACCTTAAATCCATGCAGCAAAAAATATAAGTACGAACATCAATAACCAATTTCTAAATTCCATTGGGTGAAAAAATCTACTAATATTTATGTTGTTTGAGTGAGGAAGGCATCTATTAAGAAAGCGCATCTAACAACCTACTATCAATTCCATCAGTATGACCAACAGAGTGTTAGTAATGAAAAAGTTGAAAAACATTTAAAAAGGTCATCCTTCTCTCTTCTCCAATAGTATGTGCAAATTATATATCCTTTGTAGTTTGTATTGACATTTATTCATTGGTAATGGCAAAATTTACATCACAGTAAACAATTACCCATACAAAAAAATAAATCCAGGCTACCAAAAAACCAAAAAAATATATATATATATATATATGGTTCTTCAGATACTATAACATCTGGCCGCATTACAAGAGATAGCATGTAAAATGATTTTACTTTTAGACATCATCTTTCAAAATTCAGCATTCTACTATCCAAATCCATTAAAGCAACTGAATGCAAATAAATATATACACATACCACATAATTTTCAAGTTAAAAAAATAACTAACCACAACAAAGTTGTCAAACTCCATTCCACATGAATGAGTGGGATCGCTAGCATCCTTTGCAGTAATCTTAATGTTTGTCCTTGTCTTGCTTCTCAGTCTTTTTATAGTGGACCCAGATTTCCCAATAATGTTGGCAGCCTGGCTGGCGGGAACAAGAATGTGACACTCTTCCTTGTCTTTCCACTTCTTGTCCGAATCACCAACTGAAGCCACTGCATTTGCAATTGCAGCTTGCACCTTCAGAAGAGCATCTTGGGCAGGACAAAGAGGCTCTCCGTCATCGAATTCGTCATCCACCTCTACTTCATCTTTATCCTTCACGTAGGAATAGATTAATATAACTCTATCCTTAGCACCAGGGAACGGGTCAACAACCTTAACCCTGGCCTTTGTCTCTTGCCGTATCGAGTTTATCACTTTCCCACTCTTTCCAATCACACTCCCAATAAACCCATCAGGGCATAGAATCCTATAAATGATCAGTTCATCATTACCCTTGTCATCTCTATCATTTCCCCGTCTCTTCTGATTCTTTCTATCTCCATCATTGTCCCTGTGGGAACGATATCGCTTCCCAGTCTCACCCATTCTTCTATATCAATAATTGCCTCCTGATGACACCAGAAATAAGTTTCAAAACTAGCCATCCATCAAAATCAATGAAAAGGAAAGAAAAAAACAGAAGTTTGACTTATAATCTTTTGTATAATAATAAATATCTTATAGAATTGAATGCTAATTGTATTAGTCTCAGTTCAGTCACCCCAAACAACAAATCCCACAAATTCTTATCAATGAAACAGAAAAATTCAGAGTCAAGAGAGGTAGAAAAGAGAGGATCTGAATTTGTATAAAATTCATAAGACCCATTAATGAAACTGAAAAAAAAAAATTAGAACTTTAATAGAGATAGATGGTTAACTCAGTTAAACAAAACAAGAATTCTTGAGAGAGACAGAAAGAGAACTGTGAGAAGACAACAGTTTCAGACAAACAAGGTTACAACACATAAAAAATTTTAAAAAAATAAAAATAAAATAAAAAAATCTAGTAAATAGTTTATCGGATACAAATCCAAAGAGCGAAGAGTCTTATAAACAAAAAATACAAATTATAAGAACTTATTATAAACCTAATTCGCGAACGCTGATATACTGTTGGAAAACCTAGGAAACGATCGTACCTGCAGATGAGAGAATCCAATTGAACAAAAACCCTAGGCGAAGGAAACACGAAGATGCTTAGAGAGAGAGAGAGAGGGCGCTGAGCGATAAAGTTATAGATTGCGAAAGCATTGGTAAATTCGAGGTACCATCTAGGGTTTGAGATTTTTGAACCGGTTCAATCCGGTAACCTTCGGGTTTTTTTTTAGTATGATTGCTTTTTGATCTGTGGATAGTGGGCCTGTAGTTTTTTTTGAATCGAGTGGGCCTGTAGTTGGACCGGGCCATCTCCTTTCTTTATATATTTTTTTTGTTAAATTAATAAAGGCCTTGGGAAATTAACTACTTTAGTTAGTTATTTAATTTTTTGAACTATTTTAATTTGGTTAAAATAATTGTTTGGTAAGTGAATTAATTTTTTTTTGTAGTTTATTCAAGTAAGAGAAAAAATGAAATGATTATAAATTAGATGTAATATTTTATCTTATTAATTATTTTAGTCTATTTTATTTTTTAGTGGGCTATTTTAACTCAACCATTTTCTCAAGCACTCCAATTAACTCATGTAATTTTAGTCTTCGTTTGGGAATAGCTAAAATAGCCTGGCTTTTTGGCTATTTTAGCCTGGCCTTTTTACCCTCGTTTGGTTTTTGTTTTTGACTTTTGTGAAAAAAAATGTAATGATTATGGTTTGAATGTGACATTTTATCTTATTAATTTATGTAGCTAATTTTGTCTTTTGTGTTTTTTTAACCAAAAAATCAAAACCAAACATAGCTTTAATTAGGACAAAGTGCATCTTAATTTCTTAAATTGATTTTAATTTTATCTAATTATATATTTTGACCTAAAAAAATAGAATAAAATAAAATTACATACGTCCATATGAGTTATAGTCAAATCAATAAGATTTTAAATGGTTAAAGAAAACATGTAATACAATATTTTAAGACGATGATAAATATTAAGATAGTTATAGATTGGGGAGGGGAAATGTGAAAGGGAAAATGTGGTGCAACTCTAAGAGAGGGATAAATGCCAATTAACGACATTGAGCTCAATTAAGTGGAAGAGTTTATGACTGTATTTGTCATGTTTCGTGCATAAGGAGAACACATTATGGGAGAGTTAACTCAGCCAAACATGTTGGAAAATGGCTTTATATAAATCTTATTTTTTGTTAACTTTTAGCATTAATTAAAGTAGGATTCAAGCGTTATTTTAAACGTTTGTAATTGTAGTCGTGTTTAATGCCACGCAGTGAATAACATCATATATTTGGTTACTCAAAATCATTTCCGGATGAATGAAAATTCAACGTGCATTTTCGGATTCGTGGATATAGCTTTAGGTGAGTTTCTTACACATTTGTAAAATGTGCTTGTCCCACATTGGAAAAGCTTAACGATTTATATGGGTATATAAACTCTAGCTTGGGATACTTGGGATAGGCCCCAAGGGGTACCCAAGTTTGTAAAAATGTGAGGTTATGGGTAAAGTAAGCTAGATCCATTGGACCCAAAACAAAAACCATACGCGCGCCGCTGTCCATTTGGGTTGGGCTTATTCGACCCAATACTTATCTTTTTGGGCAAAAACCATTTGTATTTTATTTATTTATTTTTAATTTTGATTTCAAAATTTAAAATAAATTGGTCAAGTTTTTTTCCTTCACCTAAACAGATCCCGAACAAGTTCATACCTATTGAATCCACCCCGAACAGGTTTTTCTACCTGTTGAATTTGTCTGAACAGGTTTCCTATCTGTTGGCACCTATTCGGAAAAGCCACATGTTCTCCTAAATACACCCTGCCATTCCAGCAATTATGGGCATCCAATTTTTCCTTAGCATTTCATCTTTCTTCTTCAAGTTCGTCTTTGTGCTCCTATATCTATCTACCATTTTAGTTTCTAAGAAAAATGAAGAAAGAATTACAACATTGTTTGGTTCGCCAGACTTGGTCTTGTAGTGCTGCAAATCAAGTAGATAGTTGTTGCATCCGGGAAAGTAGACACCGTTAAATCTCGAAGCACAGGAGCGAGGGCAAAATCTATTTTAAAGAGATTGTATCCAACACAAGACTTGACTTATATTTTCTGTAAGCAATTGATTTGGAATTTAGTTTATATAATTATTTTTTGAATCTTTTATTTTTTATTTTATTGTTTATTTTTATTTATACATTTATTTACACATACACACATCCACTGTGGGAATAACAATCTTAAAGTAGATTTCTTTTTTTTATTATTTGTGTATTAGATAGACGAATATTTTGTTTTGGAAAATTAAATAGTAGTCATATACTGTTTAATTTCTTAAATAGTAGTAATATGCTATTTAATAATTTCTTTGATAACATAGTAGTCATATACTGTTTATCATTGGAATTTTGTTACAAAATATTATTCTGTATATTTTGTGTGTAAATTCTATTCTGTATGAATTTGTGATTGATACATTATTATTTCGTCAAAAATACGAATATTGAAACAAACAGTACTGAGACTGTTCGTACTTCGACCCCCATACCCGTTGTGCCAATGATGACTCCGGCAGTACTAGTAAATCATGGGGAGAAGCCAGAAAAATTCAATGGAAATGATTTTAAAAGATGGCAATAAAAGATAATGTTTTATGAAGCTTCGGCACTGAACGAGGGAGAAACTGACTGGCAAGTGGTTGTCGTAGTCAATGCATGGAAACATGGTGATTTTCTGTGTCGGAATTATATCCTCAATGGGTTAGACAATACACTGTACAATGTGCATAGTGTCAAAAGCACTGCAAAAGAATTGTGGGAATCTTTAGATCATAAATATAAGACAAAGGATGCCGGTACAAAGAAATTTGTTGTCGGTCGTTTTTTAGATTTTAAAATGATAGATTCCAAAACAGTTATTAGCCAAATTCAAAATCTCTAATTAATTCTCTATGACATACATGCGGAAGAGATAGTTCTCAGTGAATCTTCCAAGTATCGACAATCATTGAAAAATTGCCACCATCTTGGAAAGAATTCAAGAATTATCTAAAGTATAAGCGCAAGGAGATGAAATTAAAAGAACTAATAGTGCGACTCAGAATTGAGGAGGACAACCGTGGTTCTGACAAAAAGTCAAGAAACCATGTCATGCAGGCTAAAGCAATTGTTGTGGAACATGGACAAGGGTCCCAAACAAGGATCCACTAAAAAGATCAACAAAGGAATCAATAACGGGTTCAACAAAAGATTCAAAGGCAAGTGTTTTGTGTGCGGCATATATGGACATCGCACTAAGGATTGTCACGTTCGCAAGAACGGAGGGAGTTCAAGCAGAAAGCCAACACAAGCCAACATAGCTGAAGATTTTTATCTTTCCGATGGAATGACAGACATCAATCTTGCTGCAGTAGTCTCTGAGGCAAATTTGGTGGACAATCCCAATGAGTGGTGGATGGATACTGAAGCAACCCGTCATATCTGTACAGATAAGAAGATGTTCACAACTTATAAAGTGGTGAAAAATTGGGAACAACTTTTTATAGAAAACTCATCTACATCAACTGTAGAAAGACGAGGAAAGATTATGTTAAAAATGACCTCAGGGAAGGAACTCACTCTTAACAATGTACTCCATGTGTCGGAGATTCTCAAGAATTTGATTTTTGGGTCATTGTTGATCAAGAATGGGTTTAGATTAGTCTTTGAATTTGATAAGGCTGTACTCTCTAAGAGTGGAATGTATGTGGGGCGAGGTTACATGAGTGATGGGCTTTTTAAGCTCAATGTATTAACTATTGTACCAAATTTGGCTATTAATAATAAGAACACATAGTTTGTTTATATTGCTGAGTCTTCTTTTTTATGACATAGTAGATTAGGACATGTTAATTTTAATTATTTGCGTAGACTTGTTTCTTTAGAATGTTTACCAAACTTAGAATTTAATTCTAATCATAAATGTGAGATTTGTGTTGAGGCAAAACTCACTAAGGCATCATTTAAAGTAGAAAGAAGTATTGAACCTCTAAGTTTAATTCACATAGATATCTGTGATTTAAAATTTGTTTAAACTAGAGGAGGTAAAAAGTATTTTATTACTTTTATTGACGATTGCACTTGATATTGCTATGTTTACTCATTGAGAAGTAAAGATGAAGCTTTAGAAGCTTTTAAGCAATATAAACTTGAGGTTGAAAATCAACTTGGTAAAACTATTAAGGTAGTGAGGAATGACAAAGGTGGTGAGTATGATGTACCATTTAAGAAATTTTGTTCTGAACATGGTATTATTCATCAAACCACTGCACCCTATTCTCATCAGTCAACTACAGTTGCTGAGAAAAAGAATTGAACTCTTAAAGAGATGATGAATGTCATGTTGATTAGTTCAGGGAAACTTCAGAACTTGTGGGGGAGGCGATTTTGTATGCTAACTTTATCCTTAACTGGGTACCCCATAAGAAAATCAATCAAACACCTTATGAAGTATGGAAAAGTCGACGACCTACCTACAATTACCTCAAAGTATAGGGGTGTTTGGCTCATGTGGCAATCCCTAGTTCGAAAACAACTAAGATAGGACCAAAAATCATTGATTATGTGTTCATTGGTTTTGCAAATAATAGTAGTGCATACAGATTTTTAGTTCATAGATCTTTAAATCCTAATATGCATGTAAACACTATTATTGAGTCAAAGAATGCGTTGTTTTTCGAACACATTTTCCTTATAAGAAGACTGAAGAGTTTAAAACTCTCAAACCTGAAGAGAGAAGTTCAAATAAAAGAACTTTTGATACTGCTATAAGTAGTAGTGAAGACCAAAATGATAATGATGCAGATGAACCTAGACGCAGCAAGAGGGCTAGGATCTCTAAATCATTTGCTCCAGATTTTCTAACATGCCTGTTAGAAAATGAGCCTCGAAACTTCAAGGAAGCAATGTCAAGTCTTGAAGCTCTATTGTGGAAAGAGGCTGTAAATAGTGAAATTGAATCAATTCTACAAAATCATACTTGGGAACTGGTAGATATTCTACTAGGGTGTAAACCTTTGGATATAAGTGGATATTCAAGAGAAAAACGAAAACAGATGGTTCAATAGATAAATAGAATACGAGGCTTGTTGTTAAAGGATACAAGCAAAATGAAGGCCTTGATTATTTTGATATCTATTCACCAGTGACAAGAATA